TGTGGGTAAAACCTCAGCGCCTAGGGCTTGCCGATCGCATGGTCGGCGGTTCGAATCCCCGCGGCGGGGTGAGCTCCCGTCTTTCGGTCCCAGCTCCTGCCCACCTAGCAGTTTGAAAGCACTCCTAAGTGCAAGTAGATAAATAGGTACCGCTTTATAGCGGGAAGGTAAACGGCGTTTCCGTGTGCTGCGCTGGTGCCGGCTCGCCAGAGCAGCTTTGTCACGCTGGCCACGTGACTCGGAAGTGTCTCCGGACAGCGCTGGCCCCCAGCCTCTTAAGTGAGCTGGGCGCACAACCCTAGAGTCGGACACGACTGGCCCGTACGGGCAGGGGTACCTTTACCTTTACCTACTTGACATAAACTCCATTCTTGTTGATGTTACTGTTCTTACGGCACTAATGTATTATCTTGCTAGTGAGTCTGCTCCCAATTAATCAGTTACATTTGTAATGAAGAGTAGTGTCAAGAAGGCATTTTTTGTTTTCCTAGTTGTGCCTCTTTATAATGACACTGTTGGATTCTGTGTATTTCCCTTATTAAACTTACCACCCTAAAGAAGTTTCCTGTTTCGAAGAAATGTGAAAGTAAAGTGCTTTATTCTCATAGAACTTGCACCCTGATCTTGAACACAAGCCTTGGAAGTAAATTGACATTTGCACTACAAGTCAACCGGCAGCTAAATGTTGTGACGTGTCGCAATCCTTTTCACCCTGTAAAATTGCAAGATAGCCACTTCAGTTTGTTTATTAAATTTGTATACCACCCTTCATCCAAAGATCACGGGGAAGTTCACAACGTTAAAAATACAAAATGAGAGCATAAGATACATAATAAAAACAAAAACCAAAGCAATAACCCCCCTCCTACAAGCATACAGTGGTACCTCAGGTTAAGTACTTAATTTGTTCCGGAGGTCTGTACTTAACCTGAAACTGTTCTTAACCTGAAGCACCACTTTAGCTAATGGGGCCTCCTGCTGCCGCCGCACCGCCGGAGCACGATTTCTGTTCTCATCCTGAAGCAAAGTTCTTAACCCAAGGTACTATTTCTGGGTTAGCAGAGTCTGTAACCTGAAGCGTATGTAACCTGAAGCGTATGTAACCTGACGTACCACTGTATTTAAAAGGCTGTGGAATGTTAATCAGCCAAAGGCCTGGTTGAAGATGAAAGTTTTCACCTGGCACCTACAGATATGTAATGAAGGCGCTAGGCAAACATCTCTGGAGAGAGCATTCCACAAATGGCGACCCACTGCAGAAAAGGCCCATTCTCCATCCCTGGTTTTTCATTCCTGTTCCTTCAACTGACACTCAGCTGACCATCATTCTGACCACTGAGCATGCTCAGTCATCACTTGAGTTTTTCCCTACTTTTTTTTTTTTTTTTGGTACTTCTGTAAATCTTCGGTTTCCCCTCAAGCCTACTGATAACATACCATTTTGTGTGGATTGTGCTGTTTTGGCTTGTATTAATTCCAAAGCTGAAAGTATCCTGCTGGGATTTTGTTTTTGTTGTTGCCTTCCTGTCCCTTTCTGACATCTTTCTAATGCAGGTTACTCGCTTTATTGATTGTATCATTTAGCTGGCTGGTTATTTTTGATGACTGAAGTATATACTGAGGAGTCATAGAATATTGGAGTGGGGCAAAACAACATGTACAGAAAAGCATGAAGTACCACTAAGGAGTCAACTGTATAATCTAGTTCAGGGGTCAGCAACCTTTTTCAGCTGTGGGCCGGTCCACTGTCCCTCAGACCATGTGGTGGGCTGGGCTATATTTTGAAAAGAAAAAAATGAACAAATTCCTATGCCCCACAAATAACCCAGAGATGCATTTTAAAGAAAAGGACATATTCTACTCATGTAAAAACATGCTGATTCCCGGACCATCCGTGAGCCAGATTGAGAAGGCGATTGGGCCGCATCCGGCCCCTGGGCCTTAGGTTTCCTACCCCTGATCTAGTTGTCTGCTTAGAAGATAAATTGATTTGTGTAGGGAGGGAAAAAACCACCTTTGATTTTCAGGAAGGTGCTCCCAAGTAATTGGACATCATGGTTTTTTTAAAAGCTATTTTTAATTCAAGTAATTACAGAAACAGCAGGTGGTAATCATCTTGAGAAACATTAGCATGCACACAGAAGATGGAATGTCTCTTTTAAGATGGTGCCTGCTTCAGCAAATGCATACATCTAAAAACAAGGTCTGTGTTATGTGCGTGTTTTCCCCTTAGTCAGAACTGTTGTTTCACTTGTATGCAAATTTAAAGAAAGCTCATACAATTTATTTAACCCAGTTGCTGATCCTCTTAAAACCAAGGTGGCTCAATGATAAAATGGCAAACATTCCCTTTCATTTCTCTGTATGCTTCTGGGATCTAGTGGAGCTGAGGATATAAAATCCAATAGATCTGAGCCAACCTCTGTGTGTAGTGTTTTGTATAAACCCTGGAGGACTGATCTGTCCTTTCTCTGATGGGCTTACCGCTATATAAAATGATGTGCCACAGAGAGATGTAATATTTCTGCTTAAAGGTGGAAAGGAGCCTAAGATATAGAAGAACAAATGAGGGGAAAGAGACAGATGGTTGGTTGGCACCCAAGTAACTGTAAAACCCATAGAATTATTCTCTGCTTGTATTGAATGGAATAGCCTTGCAGCTATGTAAGTTAGCTGGCTTTCCAATAAAGCAGTAGTCTCCAGGCAAAACCTGGGATATTGTATGATGTTTTGCATGCGTTGCCCGCAACAGGAGAATACATAACCGCTCGGCGCACTTAGCAACCGGATTGTCTGAGTTCTTGAGCGTCACGTAATTGGAATGATGGGCCATTTGATAGAATTAGGAAGTTGGCTGCACCTGCCGTCAACCCTGACGTCTCAGTTGTGGCACATTGTCCTTTTTTGCATGCGTGTGGCAGTAAATGATGAAGAAGTAGCAGTGTGTGTGTGTGTGTGTTTGTATACAATCTGCAAATTGCTTCTGTTTTCATCCGTAGTGTAGGGAACTTGTGCAATGGAATTCCACAATGTTCAGAGGCTTTCGTGTTTAACCTACCTTTTTTATTTTAAAAAATCATTCTCTGTGCTTGCAGATACTAAATGAAAGCGAGCGCAAGCCAAGATGATCCACACTAGTATTTAACAGCAAAATGCTGTGTATTATGTAGTCATGTGGTAGCTGTGTGTATGTGTGTTTCTTAGGCCTTTTTTGTTTGTTTTTTGTTTCCGCCTTTCTCATGAAGAGCATGCCTGTCTTCTTGATATAATGCTTTTAAAAGCCCGTCTTCTGACAGCTTTCCTCTTGGAAACCAGAATCAACTGGCTATCTCATCTTGTTCTTGCAGGCAAAATGAGACATTTGTACAAACCCTCCCTCTCCCCTCTGCACATGCTTTTGGGAAGGAAGAGATGCTGATACAATTCCTTTCACCTCTGATCGGGAGTCCATTGTGTGGCCGCACCTGATCGCACTTTGGCCACATCCGCACCACACATTTAAAGCACTGTGATACCACGTTAAACCATCATGGCGTCCCCCAAAGAATTATGGGAGGTGTAGTTTGTTAAAGGTGCTAAGAGTTGCTAAGAGACCCCTAGGGCCTCCCCTTACGGTTGCTACAATGATTTAACAATCATTCCCTCTTCCCAGGGAATTCATCAACATAAATTATTAACTGTTGGGTTCTTGGCTGCTCTGAAGTCCTAATCTTACAGGAAAAGGACTGGCTTTATCTGATGAAGAAGCTTAATCCCCTTAAGCAAGATGGCTTTTTGAGAAAATTTTGTTTGGGGGGTGGATGGTTTGGAAAGAGTTTGAGCAAAGCATGTTGTCTTGCCTCCAAAGATCTGTTTGCCTAACCCCCATTGCCCGTATCTTCTTGTACTGCTGAAAAACCGTTCCTTAGGTTTAGGAGACCCTCCGAAGTGGCACATTATCGTAATCCCACAGGCAGTGCTTCAACATGGCTTCTTCCCATGCTGTCAGGACAATGTTGTGGAAGCCTAGAGCAGCGTAGGCAGGGCCAGTGGGATGGGCCTGTCTGTCTGATTGGCCTCCTTCCTCTTGACCAGTCAATGCTTGGATGGGCAGTTCCAGTGCGATGGACCCCACTTGGGTGCCTTTGGTTCCAGATGTTAACATTTCCATGTGGGGAGAAGCTACAGCAGAGTGACTGCCACACTAGCCCAAATTAACTTGTTCCTGTACCCAGGCACATATGTTCCTATACCTATTGGCCCTCTCCTTCTCACATATCCCTATATCTGCAGCCCTCCTCACTGTGTTGGAAGATGAAGATCTACAGTAGGGAGTCTGTTACACTGGAGTCCTTACCTGGAGTTGCCAGGTTGGTAGCATCCCAGACCCTGAGATTTCAGGCCCCCACGAGTGAAAGGAGCAGGAGACAAAGGAAAATACAGTTATAAATATGAAGAAGAGCCGTGGAAGGGACATGGAAGGGACTTAAGGGCCTCGGATATAAGATTACCAGGTTAATGCGCTAGATTGATGAGATAAAAAGGACTGACAAAACCCGGGACCAGGAGGAAGAGACGCTGGATGAAGATTGGATTGTTTTTTTATTTCTTTTTATTATTAGGATTGTTTTATAAAACTGATGAATGTTAGAAAAATGTTGGAACGAAATTATTTGGCTTTAGCAAAAATGTTTAAAGAATTATGTAATAATATTATGGTTATGAGAAGTTGGTAAAAAAGATTTAAGTTTTAGGTTTTAAGGCTTTTTATAGTAAGATAAGATTAAAATAGATTAAGGTAATGTAATGACAGAATATTATGAAATATGGAAAGGATTTGCTGTGACAATTAACAACTAGGATACAAAAAAAGGGAGGAGGAGGAGGTCAAAGAAAGAAGGTAATGACAGTTAAGGATTTGAGAACAATGGATTTGTTTTTAAATGTTTGTGGTATATTTTTGTCTTTTGATTAATTGGTATTGTTTGATGTGGTTTGTTTTTCTTTTTCTTTTTCTTTTTCTACCTTGTTTTCTTTTGTAATTCTAAAAAATTTTCAATAAATATCATTAAAAAAAAAAGAGAGAGATTTCAGGCCCCAAACCTGAGACCCAGGGGTGACCCTGGGGCAGGCCCTGGATACTGAGGTTAATTGGGAGCGGGGAGAGAGCAGTTTCAAGCCCTCCACATGCCACCTGGAAGGAGCCAGGTAAACCCAGAGACTGGAAGTCGTACCTGGAGGTCTGGCAACCCTATACACAGCGCAGAACCCTGATCTTCTTTGTTATGTGAGGAGTCTTCTCAAATAGGCCTCCTCACTGTTTTTCTTAAAGACTGAGGGGTTGTGTCCAACACCAGCTGAAATGAATGGACCTAAGTTAGTCATGCCTGTTAATTTCAGTAGTCTACTGCTCTTGAGTGTGACTGATATTGGATGCAACCCCGGAAGTTGGGATAGAAATATTATTTGTTAACATCTACAATGGGGCTATCAAGCTGTATTTTTTCAGATCCTCTGAAAGTTTGCAGAGCAAAGCAAAGCAAAGCAAAGCAAAGCAAACAAGACCTGTAGCGGGAGTCTTGTCAAGATTCACAAACTCCTGAAGATTGCCTCTGTTCATATGGTGAAAGGGCATATTCTGTGTGTTAGTTCTCGATTAAAAATGAAAACGATAGAAAGAGCCCCTAGCTGGGGAGCTTGGTTCTTAAAAATTCCAACTGCAGCTTTTGAAACGATAACCTGAACATACCTGTTGATAGGCATTGCATCATATTCTATGGAGTCCTCGTGATTCTAAAATTAGTTGTTTATTTTTCTTCAGTGCCCAAGGGTCTTACATCAGATTATATGGGTTATGTATGTCTGTTTATATTCCACTGCAACACCTTTTGTGATTCTTTAACTATTTAAGTAAGTGTTAAGTGTGCGAGCTCAGTGACAGCGCTTTCAGAAACTGTGATTTGTCTTGGAATTGTTTCTTACTACATTGTTTATGCAGGGAAGAAGTGTTCCTCTTTTGTTTACTGTGAATAAATGCGCTGTTACCTTTGTGAAAACCTGGTTGCAAGATGTGTAATCCTATTTGTTCTTTGGTGCTTTTGTCATCTGGGGCATGCGGTTGGGGAAAAAATTGTTTTGTGTTAAATGCAGGACCAAAAAAATCCATAACTTTCCACGTGTTAAAAATGACTAAGTATTTTGAGCCTTTTAAATTTTAGAAGCCCCAAATAAGCCTACCATCCTTACAGAAGTGAATTTTCATAGCTTTGCCTTTGACATGTTCTCTATTTAATAACATAATCCTATGCACACTTACCTGGGAGTAAAGCCCCATTTTTCTCAGTGAAGCTTATTTGCACAGGATTGCACCGCAGGTTGGATTTGTTGGAAACAGAAATCCAAGATAGTATTGGCAAAAGCACCTGGCCCCTACAAACAGTGATGTGGGTTTTCTGGATAATTTTTTGAAAATTTGCATAGGGTAGTTTGCATCAGGAAATTTCCTGATGCACTAGACAGCAAGTGATTTAATTGAGCAGGTTTACTTTACTTGTATTTAGTAAACAAAAGCAGAAAACAATGAAACTGCTGAGGTTGTCTATTAATTTTACTTTACTTGCATTTAGTAAACAAAAGCAGAAAACAATGAAACTGCCAAGATTGTCTATTAATCTTATTTGCAGTTGGTATCCACCCATTCTTACTATTCATCCTACGAAATACAAAAAAACCTCACAGAAAGTAAAGCCCCATATTACTGCCTACAATTCCACATAGTTATGTAAGGGAGAGGAGGGTTTCATATGATTCCCACACATGCTGAAAGATGGTGCACTGCTGTGATCCCATCCCAAAACACAATGATAGCAGCTCTTACTTTTAAGAAAGGAAGATAACTTTTCCCAGGCTAATAGCAATACAGACTCAGCAGCAAGCACAATGCTTAACCATACTTTAGTGTTACAGCGATGAGCTGCAATAAGCTTTGGGCTCTCAGGCTCCCACTTCTTCTGGAGTTGTGAGGGCAGTCAGAAGCTTTTGCTTCTGTTTTAAAATAGCAGCAGTTTAGTATGTTGTCCAAACTCTACATTGTGACTTAATCTTAAGTACGGTTAGTGAAAACAAACCAGCTGCATAACCTGTAGTTTCAAGTTTGCTTGTTTCCATTCATCATAGTTAATACCAACCATAATTTGCCCGGAAATCACAACAAGCTACAGCTACAGCTTCTCCAGATGACATATTTATTCAGCACCAATCTTGATTTGCTTGCGCAAAGCTATACACTGGTTAAACTATGCCTGGTCTTTATTGAGCATTTGCTCTGATTAATTTACAGGGTTGTTATATTAAGATGAGAATTGCAGGGCTTTCCTGTTAATTGTTTCACGGGTTCCCCGCAATTTCCAGGACCTTTCACCATTACTTCTGAAACCTCAAACCCCAAATGGATCCGCTGCCCAGAATTTTGCCTTAACCCACTTAAATCATGTGAACTTTATATTCTGGTGTGTGCTGCTTGAATCCTTCCTGTGAAACGGTGACAGCTTGAAGCACTCTCAGTCTGCTGTTCTGAAGTCCTCCTAATGGTTGTGGGCAGCAGAAGAGTAAGTTGTATGTAAGCTTAAGGCTCACTGCAACAAACCCTCGTAACGCTAAACCACGGGTTGTCGTTTTGTGTTTACGTGCAGCCCCTCTGGGTCTTTTTGCTCTGTGTAGTGCCACACATATCCCCCATTTTGGGTGGCTGCTTGTCATTTTGAAAGGTTGCCTCTGATGCGATGGCATACTGTGTCTGTTTGACACCTCATGTTTTCCTTGTTGACAGTTGTTTATACAGCTGGGCTTTGTGTTAGGGGGTTCCCCCTCCTTTTTAGTAGCGTTTTTTTTGAAAGGATGTCTATTTTACCCAGAGGAAAGCAAGGTTCTAGCTGTTTTTCTTTCTTTAGAAGAAAGAGGCCTCTCTGAGGCAAAAAGTAGATTGTGAAATCGAATATATTGTTGTTCTTTGGTTTAACTGTGAAGGGGGCGGCATGTCTGCAGGTGTGTTGAGGAGTGTGGTCTTCAATTAAGAAGCCTTCGTCTTTTGATTTCAGGAACGAAATACTTGCAAGTACAAAGGCAATTTAATATGATTGATAATCCGGCACAACTCTACCTTCGTCTCAAGGGTGTTTCTACAGGTCTGCAACTGATTCAGTCCCTGCCCGCCCCACGTCCCCATGTAGTGTTGCCTACAAGGCACCTATAACGGCGTCTGTTACGACTTTCTGCAACACAAAGCCTAAGAGTAATGGTAATGAAACGGCATTTCAATTTGTAAGCCAGTCGCCTGTGTCAAGATTGGACTCCTTCAGTTCCTGTCGTGTGCAGGCATGCGTGGCAGTGTTGGTGCCACTTGAGGAGAACATGCTGATAGCACTTTAACATTTAATTGCTTCTCTTGATTCTGTTTGTAAATTAGAGCCTAAAATAATCCGGAAGAAGAACTACCGCAGCTTCTCAGTTGTGTGGATTGAAAAATATGAACAGAGCCCCAAAAGCTTGCGCCGGCGGGAGCATGCAAAGCTTCACGTTAACCCAGGCATGTGAAATGGCTTATCGCTTAAACGCCCACCTGTTTTTGAGAGCCATCTCCATTTCTAGCGCTGCTGACCCCCACACCCCTGCAACCAAAGTTAAAACCAGTAAGAAGATCAATGTGAAGAAAATTCACCATCATTTTATTGCAAATTTATCCTAATATACATTTCTTTTTTTACAACTTTGCCTACTATATATGTATTTTTCCAAACTGGTTCTGCCCAAAATAACAAAAATTTTTCCCTATGTTATTTTCACTAATATATTCATTTTTGTGCACATTATATGGCTGGAGAAATGCAGCCAAAGAAAAGGTGAAATCACTTTTTCTTAGAAATAAAGGTGAAATCAGCTCTTCAGTTTATGTGTAGGTGAAAACAGGCACACCCACTTTGACTACTGGGTGGAAAAATATCTTATATTGCACTTTGACCCTTCCGTGCTCTCCCTCTTCCCACTGGCATTCCTGAAATATTATTGAGAGCCAATCAAGTGCAACAAGGAAACGAAACCCTATCAGCTATTAAACCGAAGCAGCTCAACTTGGGAGTTGTATCCAATTAAGTAAAATTCAAAGTAGACCCACTGATATTAATGGGCCAGTGTTGGTCATTTCTATTAATTTAAATAGGTCTTCACCTGGGATGCGGGTGGCGCTGTAGTCTAAACCACAGATCCTAGGGCTTGCCGATCAGAAGGTCAGCTGTTCGAATCCCCGTGATGGGGTGAGCTCCCATTGCTCGGTCCCTGCTCCTGCCCACCTAGCAGTTCAAAAGCACGTCAAAGTGCAAGTAGATAAATAGGTACCACTCCAGCGAAAAGGTAAACAGCGTTTCCGTGCGCTGCTCTGGTTTCGCCAGTCATGCTGGCCACATGAAGCTGTATGCCGGCTCCCTCGGCCAATAAAGCGAGATGTGCGCCGCAACCCCAGAGTCGGTCACGACTGGACGTAATGGTCAGGGGTCCCTTTACCTTTACTCTGGGATTCAACTCAAAAGCTTTGTCTTTTTCTATTACTATTTTTTAGTTCAAAGCAACACACACATATATATATATATATGGTCTTTACTTCCTTTTTTTAAAAAAAGGAAGTGTGGATCATAGACAGTCCTAAACTGTGGCAGCCCTAAAAGGACAACAAAAACAAGTTTTTGTTTTAAGTGTGAGACAAGAAGCTCATTAAAAGTGTTGGCTCTGCAACCCAAGAGACACGGCTCTACTGATCCGCAGAGGTGATACAGCATTAAGCTTTCACAGATATGCTCACAGCTCTGCCGGTAGGCCTGGGAATCTTTTCACAAGGACTTCTTTTAAAACACACACACAAAAACCCTTTCCTTGTTAATCCCAGGGTTCTATCAAACTTTAGTTTCAAGAGGATATGTTTCACAAATGGAGACCTGTGTGGTATTAGCGGAGAGGTTAGATATAGGAAGTTTACTTCATCACACAACGCGGAATGGACCTTTGTTGCTCAGTGGGTCTAGGATGCTGGTGAGATTTTCATTTTTAAAAAGGTTATGAATCCTTGCTGGCCAATGGCAGGTCTTGGCAGTGAAACCGCTGCACCTAAAATTATTATAATACATTTGCAGCTGATGGCAAGGGGCTAATGCTCTTGAATCAGCTGTTGTGATGCACAGAACAAAAGTGCAGACTTGCACACGTTCAAATTCTAGCTTAGCCTTGCGCTCATTATAGGGTGTCTGTCAGCAAGTCTGTTTCCTTCATCCTTAGTTGTTTATCTAAAAAATGGGAACCAGAATTTAGAAGAGTACCGTAACAATTATTAAGTTATACATAACAACACTTGAATAATTATAATTTGTCCAGATGGCCTTTAAGATGTGAAGGGAGCCTTCTCAGGAAACTGTGAGAAGCTTCACGATGCTTTCTGACGGGTCAGCATACAAACCCTCCATCGTTCTCCTTCATATAGGTGCTACAAGCCTTGAGTTTACCAGACTCCTCAAACTACAATTTATTTTTCCACAAGCTTCTTGACTCCCCCAGGATCCTTCCCCATTGGGACTGCAGCTAGTAGGCTCATTTAAGCTCTGTTTACGCTTTTCCTCCTCTGATCAGCTTCTATAACATGGGATCTCCTCACACCAGTGTTCCCTTGCCCCTTTCAGAACACTCTGGGCAGAATCATAGAATTGTGGAGTTGGAAGGGACCCCGAGAGTCATGTAGTCTAACCCCCTCCAAGGCAGGAAATCTGGGGGAAGAGAGCAGTTATGTTATTTATAGATTGTTTTTTCAAACCTCTGGTATGAGACTGTTTGCACTGGGTGGGGGGGGGGGAGGATTGTAGGGATGGGGGAGAAATTTAATTCAGTTTGGGCAAGCTTGCCTTTACACAATATGTAAACCAAAACACAGCCAGCCATCCTTTGAAATTCACACTTCTCCACATTTTGCAGTAGTAGTAGTAGTAATAATAATAATAATAATAATTATTATTATTATTATTTTTAAAATTTATTTATACCCTGCCCATCTGGCTGGGTTTCCCCAGCAACTCTGGGCGGCTCCCTACAGAATATTAAAAACACAACAAAACATTAAAAACTTCCCTAAACAGGGCTGTCTTTAGATATCTTCTAGAAATCAGATACAGTGGTACCTCTGGTTACGAATGCTTCAGGTTATGAGCTCCGCTAACCCGGAAGTAGCTGCTCCTGGTTGCAAACTTTGCCCCAGGATGCGAACAGAAATTGTGCACCAGAGGCCCCATTAGCGAAAGCGCGCCTCAGGATAAGAACAGTTTCAGCTTAGGAACGGACCTTTGGAATGAATTAAGTTCGTAACCAGAGGTACCACTGTAGTTGTTTATTTCCTTGACATCTGATGGGAGGGTGGGGGCCACTACCGAGAAGGCCCTCTGCCTGGTTCCCTTTAACCTCACTTCTCATAGTGAAGGAACCACCAGAAAGCCCTCGGACCTGGACCTCAGTGTCCAGGCTGAATGATGGGGATGGAGACACTCCTTCAGGTATCCTTTAGAAATTCTTCAAGAATGTAAGAAATGCCTGCTAGGTCAGGCCAATGGCCCATGTATTCCAGCACCCTCTTCTCACAACATCCTCTCCCACCAGATGCCTGTGGGGAAAACCTTCATCTGGGCACGTGAGTGCTTTGGTTTCCCACAACTGGTGTTCTGCCTCCAGCTGCTTTCCTTTCCTCTTGTAAAATCAGGAATGGCAAGCCAGTGGATCACCAGATTTTTCTGGTCGCCCAATTCCCCCGCAGTCGGTATAGCAACAACATTAGGAGGGCCTCGGGTTTCCCCACCCTGCCTTTAAATCCTGCAAGACAGACACATTTATGACATATGCCTCAAAAAGCCCCTGTTAATCTGGTTCTTAAAATGGAATGCCAGCCTCCTTCAGGAGCTGTGAGTAGTTTGCTGAGGGGCGGAGACGTTTAAGAATTCCACTTGGTTCCTGATCCCGATGTTGCTACTTTTAAATACAGTGGTACCTCGGGTTACATACGCTTCAGGTTACATACGCTTCAGGTTACAGACTCTGCTAACCCAGAAATAGTGCTTCAGGTTAAGAACTTTGCTTCAGGATAAGAACAGAAATCGTGCTCCGGCGGCGCGGCGGCAGCAGGAGGCCCCATTAGCTAAAGTGGTGCTTCAGCTTAAGAACAATTTCAGGTTAAGAAGGGACCTCCAGAACGAATTAAGTACTTAACCTGAGGTACCACTGTATGCACATTTTAACTTCACACCAGGGAGATATCAATGCAGTTTGCAAAGTGGGAACAATGCCCTGGGTAACTCCCTCTTATCCTGCGTAGAGCTGAGGTTGTTTTGTTGTTGCTTTGCCTCCTTTCTTAAGGGTGCTTCTGTTAGGGATACTAAACGGCTGCATGCATTTTGAGCAAAGATGCACAGCTTCTTGGAGCTGAAGTGACCAAAACATTCCCGCATGATCTCTCCCTTCCCGCAAAAGAAGACTCTGGTTTTTTGGGGGGGAGGGGAACTTTTCGCTAAAGGAAAGTGTGTTCTCCTGTTGTGTGCATACATAATGACTCACTGCTCCAGCTTATCTCGTTTGGGCTCTATTAGTGTCAAGTTCACTTGCTAAAACAACCCCATAGTGCTAATCTTTAATTTTTTTAATTTGTCTGTCAATTGGGCCTCCTGCAGAATTGATAACCACTTGGAAGTGCTCAGCCATGTTAAAAAGGTGTTTGCTCTCTTTCCTTCCCAAAGACAAGTGTGTGGAACAGCCTCCCCTGAGCCGGAGAGCAATTTTCTCTGTTTATGTGTGTGGCGGATGCCGAACGCAAGGCCGCGTTTGAAATTTGCCGCTTGCCGCTCTGCACCCAGAAGACGTGTTGTTGGGATCTTTCCATAGAGAGTTGTCTCATCTTTTCCGATAAGCTAGAAATGAATTATGCTGCTTTTGCCAGCAGCCTCGATCCTCTTCTTCGCAGTATGGACCTCTTGATCCAGCGTACCATATAATGTATAGCAAAGCAGAGAATCAATAAAGCCATTAGCCAGCTCTCTGTCTTGCTAGAAACATTGACGAATCAGTCCATATTTCCCCCTGGGTCTATTTAGTGACTTATGTCAGTGGAGAAATAAGTAGTATAAACAAAGTCTGACCCATTTCAATTGGCTCTCCTCCAGACTGTGATACACAAAGCAGATCAACGCGCAATGTTAGTTTTCACACCCTGGTTCTCTCTGCAAAGTGCAGAACGGCACGACTCTGTTCCTCTCTTCTTTGTGGTCCCTGGGCTACCTTTACCATAGTACTCCCCCCCAACCCCACCCCCCCAACAGTGACTGACTAAAGAAGTACAGTGGTACCTCGGGTTACATATGCTTCAGTTTACAGACTCCGCTAACCCAGAAATAGTACCTCAGGTTAAAAACTTTGCTTCAGGATGAGAAAAGAAATCGTGCAACACAGGCGTGGCTGCAGCGGGAGGCCCCATTAGCTAAAGTAGTGCCTCAGGTTAAGAACCGTTTCAGGTTAAGAATGGACCTCCAGAACGAATTAAGTTATTAACCCGAGGTACCACTGTATGCCCCTGTTAAGACTAAGTAAA